CGAGAGCACGATGGCCGGATTGGTCCAGTGTCCGGGTCCGGCATAACCATGCTATGTTCTCATTGGCAGGAACACCTCCATTACAATCTTCCTCCTCTAAACTGTAACACTTCACTATCATCATGATTTGGACGCTTCCAGCTACTGGCTGATGATTCTTCATCACATTATCATCATCATCTAGCACTAGAGATTGCGGATCATTCAGCAGAGAACGGTTCTTCACTGAACATCGTAACATGAAGAACAACCGGCAGGTAGTTCCTCGGCACTTCCCAGGCACTTCACGTGTAGTTCAGGAGGCAGGAGGTAGTGTTCAGGATTCGGCAGCAGCACTCTGGAGGAGCGCTGTACGAGTAGTAGTAGCGTTAGCAGTAGTCTTCAGCGCTGGGCGCTAGTAGCATTAGCTGTAGTCTTCAGCGCTGGGCGCCATAGCTAGAGTGGTACTATAGAGAGAGAGATTGGGCGGAGGCCAGAGGGACTTACCTGCAGCGCCATCGCTCCAGCTTCGTCTTCAAGATACCTGCAGCACAGCGCCGCCTTCACAGGTTAGTACCTGGCATGTGAGAGAGAGAGAGTTCTTYTTCTTCCTCTTCTCGGTCCACCATCTCCCTCTCACCCTCTCGTTATCTGACTTCACTGCATCAGCAGACTATGAGAGAGAGAGAGAGAGAGAGAGAGAGAGAGAGAGAGAGAGAGAGAGAGAGAGAGAGAGCTTGGTGACATTTGGATCCAGACTCGACATTGGACTTCAGACACTTTGACGAGGGATTATTTGGGACTTCTAACGAGACTTGGTGTTGACGACTTTCCCATCTCTCCCCTCCTCTTCGTCTGTGCATGGCTGGACCTGGCGCCTCTTCCTGTGTATAGCGCCAGGCCCCTTCACACCTTGTGGTGAGAATGATGTATGTTTAGTCTGCATTGCGACATTGATTGGGCTCGTCACTAGTATTCTAGCCTTCTGCTTCGCGATCTTGTACTACGTGAACGAGGTCAGTCCCGGTCAGGTCAGGACTTGTATCTAAATCTTCCACTGCGCTATCAAACACCATTTTTGTATGTATCGGAATGCACATTGCTTGTTGAGATTCCACTTGCACTGCATTGTCCATTCAGTCCTTTTTATCACATTGCAGATCCTCGGTTTATATGTACATCGCCCAACAGGGCATGTAACATAGTGGAAGACTTCAAAAACAAAACATGTGGGACCATGGTACAAACATCAAAATATCAAGCAGGCAAAAAAAAGGAACAAAAAGACATGAAAACACTACAAAACCTTGACACAGAAACACTTTCCGAGTTAAAATGAAGCGATTTCAACGAAATGCTAATTTTTCTTCTATTAGTCCAGACGTGTCCAAACTGCGAGGAATGAGCCTCACAAGACCATTTTGCACGACATTGTTGAGGCCCCAGCCAGCCCCGTGCCCACCCTAAGTGAAGGTCGTCCTGCATTGCATCCTGAGGCCTTATTTTTGCCATTTCTGCATGTGGGGGCGCCAGACAGTTGCCACACGCCAGATGGTTACAAGGCCCACATTGTGAGGCTGTTACATCTTCGATGCCACACGGGTCCTACCGGACCCGACTTAGGGCCGGAGGGACACACCAGGGCCTAAAGGCCCGACCTTGAGGGTCACAGGCCCTAAAGGCCTGATTTTGCACTCAGCCCAGTGGGTAGGCCCAAACGACAGTTTGTTTGGGCCTGGCGGCTCTCTTGAGGCTGCCACCCGCCGAAGGAGGCTGAACCGTCCATCTGGAC